ATTTGTTACTAATAAACAAGACAATTCTAAATGTAACTATTATTGTTATTGCCCATGTAAATTAAGTTTTGACTCATTAATGTTTAGTAGAGAACACACATTCATGTACTTTAGAATGTTGCTTCTTTGATACACACTGCATAAGGACGTTTGTCATTACTGGATTGTGTCACATAGTAATCAGCTCCATAGCCAGTAATATCCTTTGGTATTATTTTACTATTCCTTATATTTACTCTATTTTGTATGACAACTTTGTATTTTTTGCCATCCACTTCAAACGGATCTGAATGTGTTGCAGCATGATCAATATTAGGTGTAGAGTAATGGCCTTTGCCAAATTTAGCATCAGCACTACACTTGTCTCCATCATATCCTCCTTCTGCTATCTTTATTGAAGCTATCTCTTTTGTTCCATGATAAGATACTGGCCATTCTCCTGGTGAGCTTTCAGTGCAATGATGAGGAGCTCCCAACCAGACATCATTCTCATACTGTCCCTTTACTTTTAACGCTACCACCCTGTTCCAACCGTATGGTCGCCTGTAAGGATACCCTCCTCTTTTGAATACCCTCCCATCATCAGTGATATGAGTGAAGTCATCATCAAATGCTGGCTCTAATAACTCATCATTTAAAAAGAGAAATGAACACCCTCCACCATATACACTATCTGCAGTAAATAACGTTGCACCCTCAATACTACAATAACGTGTAAGTGGCTTATCAAGCTCTATTTGCTTGCTACCGAAGAGTACCCTAGTGAATGAATAGTGGATGAAAATGTGGATGATACATGTAGCTTGAATATTCTTGTGCCATGTCCCACATTGCATCTTCTATTGTTCCATTTGCATCCACCATCACAGACTCACAGTTAGTGAGCTTTCATCTAATCCAGCTATAATTATCTTAGTATCTCATGCTGTGGTTTCTTTATATAAGGATTATAAATATATGGATAACTATATATCAACATCAAGTGTCATATCAATTCATATGTGGCATCAGTTATATTGTGTCGTATTTCTTCTTGTACATCATCATCTTTGGATAGTATCCTATAGTTGGGCTGCACTAGTTGATTTAAAGCAGCTGCTAGTAGTTGACTCTTAGATACTGACATAATGAAGAGCAACAGGTTACGATACAAATAGGTCTATTGATAGATATAGAGCCCTTATGGATATATTACTCACTTCTGCTACAACACATGAGGCATGAGCCGGTCACATGCCTGGCAGTAATTGAATTAGAGGAGGTGGAATACATTTGTGGGAGTACATCTGTAGTACTAGTTTTGACAGGAACAGTTTGTGTAGTGAAATATTTATACAAAATAATTTTAAATCCTAATAGTAAGTCATATCATTTTTAAAATTGTTAGGTATGGTCTATTCTCACTCAGTAAAGTTAGTCACTACTATCCTCTTTAACTTCCCTGATACATATCCCATATGGTCGCAGGTCATCAGAAGAATATGTCACATAATACTCTGCTCCAGCATGTGTCTTCTCCTTTGGTATTATGATAGTGTTTCCAGGACTGAGATTAACTCTGTTCTGCATGACAGCCTCATATTTTTTACCATTTTGATCAAATGGCTTTGTGTAATATTTGGCAGCTACTTCAATATCTGGAGTAGAATAATGGCCTTGACCATGATAGCATGGTTCCTTCCTCCATCGTTTGCTGTCGTATCCTTCAACTGCAATACATTGTGCTCCTTCTCTTCCTGTTCCATGATAAGAGACTGGCCATTCACCTTTTGAACTTTCAGTTCTCTCAGACCCAGCTACCAGTGTACCCAGCCAGGTATCGTCTGGTGGATACTTTCCCTTAACTTTGAGAGCTATTCTATTCCAACCATAAGGACGCTTGTAGTGGTAATCATGTTTAAATAAACCCAAGAACCCTTGACTCTGACCTCGGTAGTAAACTCTTCCTGTGTCACATTCGTTTGTGAAGTCATGATCAAATTCAGGGTCTAGTGAATCCTCATCGAACACTATTATGGTTGGTCCACCTGCCCCTCTTAGTTTAACTGCAAATTGTACAACACAGCCATTTTTAATTCCACAGTCTGTCAATAGACAGTCATCATCATTGAGCTCCTTCCTTCCAAAGGTGAGTACAATGTTATTAACATCATACTGTGAGTACTCATTAAACCCTTTACTCTTAAAGATGGACCACTTCAGTCCATACACTGTAGCCCT